GGGCTACAGCCCACTTCTTCGGATGCATCCGAAGAAGTGGGCTGTAGCCCACGAAAGCTTATGCTCTAATAAATTTGTTAGTCTCTAAGGTGCCACAAGTACTCCTGTTCTTTTTGCGGATACAGACTAACACGGCTGCTACTCTGAAACCTGTACATTTGTAAAGTGCATTGGGAGCCTTTGGGATGAAAGATGCTCCAGTAATGTAAAATATTACTGTGTGAATAGACAGAGGCTGACTTGGATGGAAAGAAAAGCAGATTGTTTAATGGGACTTGAAATTTTCAGCAATGTGATGTTTTATGTGTCACTGAAATATCCATCTCTCTAAGTAGTAAGTTTTCAGTCTAATAATTAGCTTACCTTGTACAGTGGGGACTTCCCTGTCAAAGAGAAATTCAGATGTGAGTCTTAGTTCATTCTAGGGAATTTTTTACAAAAATGCTTTATTACTCATGTACTTTGGGTGGCTTTTTTTTTTTTTTTTTTTTATTTATTTTTTTTTAAATTCTTTAGTTTTTTATTTAATTTTAGTGTTTTTTTTTTTTTTTTTGAACTGATGACATTTCTTAAAAGTCCAAAGGTATGTAATTAAATCTAAAGCTCAAAACTTCTGGTCAAAAATTTATCAAGCAGCTTTATTATTTTTTGTTCTCATTTGCTTAAAGTCGCAGCAAGCCAAAGTGAATGAGTGTTTGTGGCTGCTGGTTGTTTGTTTTCGGGTTTTTCAGGTGGGCTCTCTCTTACGTTAAAGCAAATTTAATTCCTTTGCTTAAAAAAAAAAAGCTTACCAACAACTGATCTTATAATGAGCTAATCCAAAAACATGTTTGACTAGCTTAGGGAAGAAAAATGGAGGATGTTTGTGCTATTTTTAAAATGAAGCTGTGAATAATGTCTTCAAGGTTTGTGGTTTTTTAATCAAAGTAATGCTTACTTTGTCTGACAGCTACAATTTTCAGAGAATAAAGCTTCACCTCAAACAATTATTTGCCAACTACAGGAGGAAAACAGGAAGTTACAACAAAAAGTGTTTCATGTAAGTACATTTTTTAGTTTGTAGAATAGGATTTGATTATACATTTTCAACTACAGTAAATTCCCACTAACAAACTCTAATTTAACTTAACCCTAATGGCATCTATATGCAGACCCTGAATAGTCTCAATAAAAAATATTAGCTAGCATGTAATCTTTGTTCCCTTGGCAAATACAAATCCTCAATACATAACCTAGCTGCCCCATTAACAACACAAAGAAATTGAGTCAGAATGTAACATGTTTAAGAATTCTGTTTCAGCCCTAACAACACATTAACATCCCTCACTGTAATCCTTCTCTGAAAGCTTTTGCTTGCAACACTTCATTTTAAGGTGTGTGTGTGTGTGTGTGTGTGTATTTATTTATTTATTTTTATTTATTTATTTTCTGGTGCTCTCTCAGGTGGAAGACTTAAATACAAAGTGGCAGGCATATGATGCTAGTAGAGAAGAATATGTGAAACGACTCCACCTGCAGCTGAAAGAACTGAAGTCTCAACCCGAACAGCAAAGAAATTCAGAGCTGATGCAGAAGGAGATTTCTCGGTTGAACAAATTACTGGAAGAAAAAATGAATGAATGCATTAAAGTAAAGCGAGAGTTAGAGGATGTGAAGAAGGCTAAAGATGGAGATCGTGAACGTGTACAAATGCTGGAGCAACAGGTCATTAGATCTACTCTTTGATCAGATTTGCTTGATTTAGAAATTAAGATTTTCTCAGAAAAAGATGGGAAAACAAGTTCACTGAATCATTCCCTTTTTTAAGTTGATTTTTCTGATTTGGCACTTGGACATAGGGTAGCTGTACAGATTGCAAAGGTGGCAGCAGCACAAAGGGGCACACACACAAGTTCAAGTAAAATTCAGTATTGGAGGAATTCTGTGACAGCTTTATTTTCCTCCAACACAAAATAATCAGTATTTTTCTAAATTCTGTATATCTAGTACTGTTAAGTGCAGACATACTGTAGAAAAGAATACCTGCATTCTGAGCCAATTTTATGGAGTATTAATTTAAATATTAGATGGGCGAATCTATAATTCCTTTACCAACGATGACCTCTAACTCACTCTCAGTAAATGGCTAAAATATTTAAATGATTCATTTTCAGGTCCTTGTTTACAAGGATGATTTCACATCTGAAAGAGCAGATCGAGAGCGTGCACAAAGTAAAATACAGGAACTTCAGGCAGAAGTTGCTTGTCTACAGCACCAGCTAACCAGGAGACAGGTAAAGAAATCTAGAAAAGCAAGATATTAAACCAAGTTGTTTTCATTAATAAGAGAAACTCAAGCTGAAAATCAGATGCACCCCAAGGAAACAAAACTCACCAATAAATCATGGACAGTTTTGTTCAAATATCTTAAATTCAGAGGTGTCAAAGCTGTAATTGCTAAAAATCCCATACCCGTATTTCAGAACTTCAGTTCTAGAGGAATTAGAAGTTGTCTTCTCCTATTTATATAACGCTTCCTATTAGTCCCAGTTTCCCTTCTGTGTTGAATCAGCACAACTGGAAATATTATTTCTTCTCATGGATTTAGACACTACCAGTTCAGTACAAACAGGGAATAGGTGGAACTCGCTTGTTTTTTAATTTGTTATTGTTGCACATGTGATACTTGACCCCAGTCACTTATTTTATGTAGCTTTTATGATTGTTTGGAACTTAATCACCTTTCAGTCTCTGGCTCTGATTGCTTTGAGTTACCGCTAAAAATCTTTATATGGAGTATGGATCGGCTTTTAGATTTTGTCAGCCTTATCAAAATATTGTCAATACTAGAATTTTAGATTAACCCTTTTGGGCTCAAAGTTGGATTTTGCTGATACTGATTTTTTTTAATTATTTTAATTTTCTAGGAATCGAGAGAGACAACAGGTCATGTTAGAGTTCACACTGGGAACCAAAATCATCGTGTGTATGTACAGACAAATGTTGAACATCTACTGGGCAACAGCCAAGTCCAGTCAGGAGTGAGGAGAACAGGTTCACAATCTGAACAACCTGCTACACGCACAGACAGTGGGAGTTCAGGATCAGAGAGAAGAGGACAGGGTGAACTTCAGTGCCCTCATTGCATGAGGTTCTTCAATGATGAACTCAGTGATGAATTTCTCAGACATGTTGCTGAATGTTGTCAATAATCTGACTTGAGAAGTGCAATCAAATATCAAATCAACCACTACTTGATACTGAGAAAATGGCACTTTGAGATGTATACTACAGTACCAATATAATGTTGGTTATATTTTTAATATTTATCATCCAGTTTGGATGTTTGACTGACTTATCTAAGCATAAATTCAGTGCTTAGTTTCAGCATCGAATCTCTGATTTGAGGACAGGTTAGTGAAAAGTTAATTGATTACTAATCTACAATAAGTAAGGGCAAAAAAAAAAAAAATGAAGTAATTCATTTTAAATGGCCATAATGTGGGATGTTAGGAACCAGCACCATGAGAAATGTCTACCTCTTACTTCATTCCACCACCTGTTGGACTGCATAAGAGACTTCAACATAAATCAAGCCATTTTGCAAAGAATGGAAATATACAAAATAACACTCCAACAAATGTGAGTGTAACAAATGTGAGTGTAACAAATGCAAACCTGCTACAAGCCAAAAATGCTGAAGAGCACAAAAGTTGTGGATGGGCTCAGAGCAGACAGACTTACAAGCAAAAGTCTGATTCTTTGTACTTGTGGCAATCTGAAATATTTATAAAGGGTAAAGAGTGACAGTATCTTAACTGGATTTGAAATCAGTATACCTTCCTTTTCACAGATACAGCCATATAGGGAAGAGTGGCCAAAGTGGGGGGGGGGGGGGGTTCACTGTGCCATATCTGGGGTACAGTTGAATAGAGGCATCTCACTTGTCACTACTTTGAGTCTTTTAGGCATTCTAATATAACAGAACAAAATCAATCATGTCTCTGTCTGACAGCTTTTATATATCACTTGCATTGAATGTGAGGAAAATGTTAAGGTACTAGTTACTCTGATCTAAAACCTCTCTTTTTGCACTGAAACATATTGCACAAGAAAGTGACTGTACATACGTAAATACAGATTGTATACAAATATTTTTAAATGGTCAAACTTATTTTTATAATAAAATAGTGGTGGTGTAGTTGCTTTACTGGGTTAGTAATATAGTTCAGTGAAAACTTCAATGGAAAATAGTTTAAATGCAGCTGGACTTAATTTCTGGCTGACTGTTACAGCTTCAAATAAGAGTTGCCATATTACTTTATACATAAGCTGCTGTTACATGAAATAGATTCCTTATTGCACACTATTTTCCAAGAGTAAGTGTTAAGTAATTGGAGAGGAAGGATGAGCCTGGGGTTAAGGTGCTCGTTTGGGAACTAGGTTGTCTCCCAAGATCAATTCCTTCCATGCCACAGACTGAGGAACTTGCACAAGTTACTTACCTCCTCTGTGCCTCAGTTTCCCATCTGTAAAAGAGGGAAAATAGCATTCCCTACCTCACAGGGCTCTTGAGACTAAAGAGTAAAGAATGTGAGGTGCTCAGCTACTGTGGCAATGGGGGCCATATAAGTACCTAACAGATACATAGAGCTTGGGCTGGGAAAAAATGTACCTCACCATGACAAGGTTGGAGTCTAAGTAAAGTGGGTAGGTGAAAAACTCTGCACCCCCAGGCTGTCTCCAACTTAAAGGAACATCATTCAGCACTGTATCGTGTGCGTTTTGCATATCATCATTATCCTAGCTTCACTTCATTCCTCTCCTCTCATCCCCATTTCCTTTAACAGGTCAGGCTACAGCTTGTCTGACATTGTCTTTCTCCTTGCTGTAGTGTACTTGTCTGTCTTTTTCCTCTACCCCGCTCCCAACATGTCCTATTAACTGCTGTCATATGCCCATCACAGCACTTGGAAACATTAGGTATCTCATAACTAGACAACTCGTAATAAGAGACTGAAGGGAAGGAGACACACTGTCCAGATGAGATGCTGTCACAGGGCCCCTCTGTCACTATCCAGTGAACCACTGCCCAGTCAGTTCAGGTGGTTTCACAGTCAGTCAACCACACACTGGGCTGTTTCTTTCACCAAGGTGTGTATTTATTCTCTTACATAGGAATACCATGCACTGTGGGCTTACAGCAAGCATAGGTTTCCCTGCAGCCCTCACTCCTCAGCCCAGGCTCACCCTGTGAGCTTCCTACAGAGCTGCCCTTGCTTCCTTTTTCCCTTTCCTTATATTCTCCCAGTTACCCTGTTAGCCCAGTGATTGCTGCCCAGATGCTCACAGTCCTTCCAACAGAAAGTGTATAATTGGCCTCAGCTGGGCCTGCAGTCTTCTTCAGGCGGCTGCAATGTCAGTGATTATTAAATGTAAATATTTATAGACTAATAGGTCAGTCTACAACTTATTCAAATGAAAAGTTTTATTTAGAGAGTAGAGATCTATTGTTTTCTTAAACTCAGATGTGTTTTGAGTTCTGTTTTAGTTCTGCAGCAAACCACACTGATCAAAGCATTAATCTACTAAATACTTTTTTTCGTGTCCTTCCGTCCACCAAAATAAAACCTGATATTTACCCAGAAAAATTAATATTTTTTTCCACCAATTTTCACCTTTTATTACTACACCACCACCAATAAATTCCCGGGAAAAATTAAATAAAATAAAAACTGAAAACGAAGGGCCCTACGCATAGGTCATTGCACCATTCACTTCGGACAGGTCTGTCTGAATTGTCTCTCTAGGGCCACAATTTCAAGATCCCTCTCCTCCTCTGACTTACCGTGCCCCTGGTTTGAGACTGGTGGGATGGGTTTGCCATCTCCACCATGTCAGGGCCCTCATCTCTCTTTTTCTCTCCCTCCTTCCAACTGGTTCTTTACCCTGTGTCTTGTCCAGGGATTGCTCCTCCTGGACACCTGTTCAAACGTTAGCAAAAAGGCATCAGGCTCATCATCCTGGGCCATCTTACAGAGTCCTAGGCCCACTGTTTCATTTCCAGTCCCCTCACTGGCACTCACTAGCCTCTGCAGGAGCTGTTACTGTACCTTGGCCTGCTCCTTGACGAATTCTTGCAAAGTTTGTTGTTGCTCCACCTGCCAATTCAGAATCGCTTGCCTCTCTGTCTGCTGCATCTCCTGTTATTCCACCAGCCAGCACAGCATCTCATCCATGGTGCCCAGATCTCCTGCCTTTGCGCAGGTCCCACCTCAGGTATTCTCAGCTGAGGGAGTTACTGCTCCCGGACGAGCCCCCACGGGTCGCACAGTTGCCAACTTTCACGCGGTAACTAAGTACCCCGACTTCCACGATAAGCCAGAAATCAAGCTAATCCCATTTCAAAACAAGCCAATCCCTAAGAACCCCAACACTCTATGTGACTAGACCCCCCCGGCTTGCAGTCTGGGACTGTGGTGGGTCTACTGTGCACCCCTGACTCTTTCCCCACCCCCCTTGCCCCTGCTTGCCAGGAGCCGATAAAAAAACAACAACAAGCCAAAAACTAGCCAACAAGCAACTCACAAGCCAATTAAGCCAAAAACAAGCCCAATTTCTGCGTTTTTTCCCCACAGGTTTGGCATGACTAAGAGGGCACCTCTGTCTCTAGCCAGTAATCTGCACTGTGTGGCCAGTTCAGGTGGTTTCACAATCACAAACATGCACCGGGCTGTTTATCTTTCAGCATGGGGGGTGTGTGTGTATTCTTACATACTGTAGTGAACTGCAGGCTTACAGCAAGAATAGGTTTCTCTGCAGTCCTCACTCCTCAGCCCAGGCTCACCCTCTGAGCTTCCTTCTGAGTTACCATTGCTTCCTGTTTACTCCCCTTATGTTCTCCCTATTACCTTGTTAGTCTAGTAATTGCTGCCCAGGTGCTCACAATCCCTCCAACAGAAAGCATATAATTACCCTCAGCTGAGCCAGCAGTGGTCTTCAGGTTGCAGCACTCTCAGGAATCAGGGTGTTGCTAATGTGTGGAATCAGAGGGTTGCTTGTCACAGATGCTAATCTAGAACCTTCCCTGTGCCCCCAAACCCTGCTGAGGTTCTCACCCACATGCTGTCCCTGCATGCTACTTAGGTTATGTCTATACTAGCACTTTTGTCAGTCAGGGCTGTGGGGAAAAAAACAAAACCACACCCCTGACCGACATAAGTTGCACCAACAGAAGCGCCGGTGTGGAAATTGCTGTCACTGGGAGATGCTCTCCTGCCAATATAGCTACCACCGCTCATTAGGGATGGTTTAATTATGCCAACCGGAGAGCTCTCTCCTGTCAGCAGAGAGCAGCTACACGGGACCTTACAGTAGCGCAGCTGCAGCGGTACAGCTGTGTCACTGTAAAGTTTCTAGTGCAGACTTAGCCTTAGGGGTTATCAAGCTTCTGGCTGGTAGGTGTTTGGTAAATATGAACCCAGTAAGGGTATGTCAACACTAGTGACTGTACACATAACCACGTGTGTGATTGTGCCAGAACCCCCCTATTGCCCACACCTACACCCCAGAAGCCTGGGTGAGGGTAAGTAAACTAGCATGCATGAGGGCAGTGGATAAATATGCCTGTGGCATACCCATGCTAGGCTGCAGTGTGGATGGGTGTAAGGGGAGAACTCAAATTTCAATAGACCTCCACCTCAATTCCCTCAATGCACTGAACCCTTTTCTTCCTGAACCTTACCCAATCTACAAAGGTCCCTGTCCACCCATTTTCACTGGTGGTAGCAAGCTGCACTGACCACATCAGACCAGCTTTACATTGTACTCTTTACAGACCAATACAGCTGCCTGGGTCGCTGAATACTGATCAGTGTGTGGTTGGAGTACGCCGTCCTCCATGCCTCCTCGTGGAGAAGCATGAATATACACGTGCAATGGGAAGTTTCACAGAGGATGGAGCAGGCAGGCAATTGTCAGACTCCAGCCCAGTGCTAGAAACGCGTGGAGCACATGAGGCTCCTGTACAAGAGCGAAAGACTCCAACAGTCATTCTGGGAAGGCTTGTCATATATGCCCCTTCTATAAGGAGCCCGACTGGGTGCAATACAGAGCTTGAAGTGGCTCACAAGACCCTCCTTAACCCCACCGGCATTATTGTCCAACAGATACTGGATGAGGACCAAGGTGAGGAGGCAGCAGAGACCATGAAGGATACCCTGAAAGACTGGAAGAGGAAGAGCATGTGATTTCACACCTGTACCCAGAGGAACCAGTTGAGGAAGCACCCCCCTCTCCCCATGCAGCCGAGGAGGACCCCAAGCCACAGTAGGAATCAGAACCGACGGTAAGTTACAGTGGACCCTACCATACCTCCAATATCCCCTCTTGCTCTGGTGCTACATACCTGATTTTATGATCCAGGACATTTGAAGCACCGTGCACTGACTTTTCCTCCCTGAATAAAATGCC